AAAAAAAAAATTACTCTAAGCGATTCTGAGCTAAAGAGTAAATTTGACGATTGAGTAGTTCTTAGCTAGAGCTATCCATGTTCCAGGACTTGTCGTTCATTGCTGCTCGATGTCGAGTCCTTTTAGGACATCTTGTTCTCCTCAGTCAATTCTCTTAGCTCAGATCTCGTTTATCTATATCTCGTCCGAATAGTTCTTCTTGTCATTTAACTGGGTTGTCCCACCCGTATCTCGCTTCAATTATATAAATATTTTCTACTCTTTGGATAAGTCTGGATTCTTTTCGAATTTCAAATTTTGAAATGCCTGTCTTTGATGCAACACGTTTTGTAACACCCCGGAATAATATTATATTAATAGCTCGACTTATTTATCGGTATTAGTATTATTTTAATTATGCAGAGTATTATTAATATTAATTGCATAATTTATTTATTACTAAGCCCAAGTAGTATGTTAAAATCGAGCCTAGTAGTAATTATTTATTCGAGCCCAACTTGTTAAAATCGAGCCCAATTGATTAGGCCCGATTTTTGAGCCCAACACCCAACAAAAACCATAAGCTCCCTACTACTATATATAGATGTCTCCCTTTTTCCCAACACACTCACACCCTAGCCTACACTACACTATTCATCATCATCATCCCTTCAAATTCAAGATCCAAAGCTTTTCAAGATCTTGTGTTCAAAATAAGCTTCCTTCCCAAGATCCTCCATGGCTTGAAGATCCGGCCACCGTGACCAGTTTTCCGGCAAGAACCGCGGCCCCTCCCCAGCCATTCCGAGCAGCTCACGCGTCCAGCTCTTCCCGCCGGCGAGCTCACATCCAGCCGAGCTCACGCGTCCTGCTCAACCACAAGCCCATTTTCGCAGCAGCCCTTCCAGCTCCACGACATCGCGACGAGCAGCAAGCCCGACCAAAAGCCCGCAGCTCGAACCCGCAATTCCGGTCATCTTCTCCGGCGACCTCGCAGCAAGCTCGCGACCAGCGCCCTTCCAGCTCCACGACCCCGACGAGCAGACCAGCAGGCCAGCAAGCTCCACCACGCCGGTTTTTCCGCCGGCGAGCTTGCGACCCAGCCCAGCAGCCGACGAGCTCCCTCACGCAACCGCGACCCGCGACCCGAACTCCGGCAAGCTCGTCCCAGTGTCGTCTTCCTCAGCTCAGTCCCGGCGAGCTCGTCCCAGCCACGACCACGAGCCTAGCGCCCCTTTTCCGGCCACCAGCTCCTCAGATCCGCAAGCCCGACCCGGTTCCAAGCCCCAGCAGCCCTTAGATCCGAACCACTTTGGGTTCTTTGACCCGGTCAACAGCCCAAATCCGGTTCAAACAACTCCTAGTTGGACCGGTCCGGCCCGACCGGCTTGTTGCTCCGTTTTTCTTCCGTTTTCTAGTCCGATCCGTTCGTTTCCGATCTCGTGAGGTATAATATCTAAAGACTTGAATGATATGGGATAAATTGATGATAAAAACGAGCTAAAAATTAATTGAGATGTTGATTTGAGTTGGATCGGTATACACGAGCTTAAAGCGAATAAATTAATATTTTCGATAGACGCGTTAAAAATATCGAAAAAAATATGATAAAATTCGTATAGCTGACTTGAGGCCTAGGTTTTAATTTCGTAAATTTTGGTGCTCGTTTAGTATGTTAACTGGATTTTTGAATATGTAGCTGAAATGCCCGATTTATGAGAATTATGATAAGACCTCGGAATTCGATGAAACTTTCACGAAAAATCCTATAAATGATGAATATGTCGTGGTTAAAATTTCATAATTTTTAGAGGTTGTTTGGCATGCCTACAAATTCGAGACTTTAGCTGCTTTGGTGAAAACCCTAGATTTTATCCGGTTGAGACTTAGCTAAAATTTCTAGAAAATCGAGTTGAACTTAAAGTTTGAGTTTTTGACTTGAACCGAGATAGATACCCGGGTGAGTAGAGAACCCTAGTTTGACCTTCTTCGGTCAGTCCAGATGAACTCTAGATCCGGGTAGAAAAGTTGTGCGACGACTGATGTCGTGTCTGTGCGTATGCACCCGGACCACGATTAAGTCGAGTTGCACCCAGTCAGATAAATAAGATCAGTCAGATAAGTTAGATCAGATAAATCAGATAAGCAGTCCAGACTTAGAAATATTTCAGAGAACTCTAGAATGCCTCAAAGTCAGCAAATCTTTTCAGAACAGCTCAAAGCATCTAAATCCAGATTAAATGATATTTTAATCGAGCGAGAGAACTGAGTAAGATTTATTAATAATAAGAATCAAGTCCTTATTTGAGCTTAGTACTTAGTACATTTTGCTCGAATATTTATGTAGCTTAAGGAGAGTCGAGCCTCCGACAGCTACCAGTGAGTCAGCACTTGCCTAGCAGTAGCAGTTATCAGGTGGAGGTCACGTACTGGTTATACTTCATCTTTAATTTCTGTACCATGTCCAAGGTATGTA